AAGTTCACAATTAATGAACTGGCTAAATCAGCAAGTCGAGCTCTTGGTGTTTTATGTACAAAATATATTGATGCTGGTGGTTTTACTTAGCAAATTATACTAAATTGTATGAATCCTTGGTTCAGCCTATTATGCAATATGGTGCCTCCATCTGGGGGTTGTATGAACATAAAAAGTTAAAAACTCTGCAACACAAAACATGTATTTTTTCTTGGCCTCAGACGTAATGCGTCAAATGTTGGTTGGAAATCATGCAACGAACCGCATAGAAGCATTTCGTTTATTCTTCCGCCTTAACAGTATGCAAATTACAAGATTGTCCCGTGTAATTCATGCTTGGTCAAGTAAAAGAGAGCGCTCATGGGTAAAAGGAAGTTTATAAGCTAGCTAGAAACTTAAACGTCGTCGACTTGATCGATGTCCGTTCGATGACACGTGGTCAGTTCACTCTCATTAAGCAAAAAATATTTTAAGTTGATGAAACCGCTTGGTTTTCAGAGCTGTAGAATAATGCTTATAACCCTAATGGTAATAAGCCGAGGACCTATAGATTGCTCAAGAAGGATCTAGCGCCTGAGCCCTATGTCTTATCAAATTATATCCATAGAAACACCAGAAAATATTTGGCACTTTTTAACTTGCCCTTTTTGTTTTAACTCAGTAGAGACTGAGGTCCACTTTTCAATTGATTGTAACATGTATGATGATTTACGTAATGATGTAATTAACGCTATGTGTGAATGTATGCCAGATTTCTTAAACTTATCTTCAACCGAGAAATTTATTACATTACTCAGATGTGAACACGGGTGTTATACTCTTTGTAAGTTAATTGATCAAATGTTCCAAAGGCGCTTGACACTCATTTAATTCTGTGTGCGCTCTTCTGCATGTATGTTATTATGCTTGCGAATAGTAGTATATCTGCTTGTGATCAATATTATACTTGTAATGTTTATGTTGAGTGTCGCTGAGGATAAATGCACTTGCACTTCTGTGTGTGGGGTGTGTGTGTTTGGTGGTGGGGGTGGGGATAATGTATGTATGGTGTGTTTGTGTGTGGGTGGGGATGGGGATGTGTGTGTGTGTTTGTGTGTGTGCGTGCGTGCGCGCGCGTTTCTAAGTGTGCATGTGTGTGTCTACGTGTTTGTGTTTGCGTGCGTGACTGTATAAGTAATTTGGCGTGTGCGTGCGTGCGTGCGTGCGTGCGTGCGTGCGTGTTCATTACCCAATCTTAGCTTTAAACATTGTGTTAGTACATCTAAATTCACCTTATCCAGATCATGACGTTATACATATGCTTTTATAGTGTCTCGTAGGCCATTTCCTGGTCGGATGTTATATGTTTTATTGTTTGTGTACGTGTTTTAGTATCAAGCGTATATAACATGTGACACTATAATTAACATTATTCTCTCTTCCATCATTCCTAAAGTTACTTAAGGGAAACATAACTGTTTTACAATGCCCTGGGACATCCATCTCCTTTGTGCCGTTGAAGAATCTTGTATTCATAACTCTAGTGAACTGTGAACCGGCAATGCTGAAGTACGTCCTTATTTCTTACTCAGTCAGTACCCACTTCGTCTAAAGTATGTGAAAATGACTCTGTATTGCCCCAGGAAAGTGTTGTTCCTTCATTCGTATAACTACTTACAAGGGAAACGTACGTGTCATATGTCCCATTAAAGAATCGAACAGTGAACTGTCAATGCTGAAATGGGTCCTCATATATCGTTACTCAGTCAGTACCTAAATGGATCTCAGCATAATTCACAGACTCAAAACTGTCTGGGTAGGAAGGGAAAATGTTGTATTTTAATTTTATTTCTTTATAGTTGGTTTTAAATCTAACAGTAAATTCGTGTTACATGTGAACTATTTTGGACACGCGCCCTACGGCTCAAGTATGCAGAGACCTGGTGATCACGGTTAGGCTTTCTTGCGAATCTAATGCTTTGAAAAACTTATGTCAACCGACAATATCCATATTATAAAATGTTTGATCAAATTTCTTAAGATTAGGAGCAAAACACCCATCACTGTGACATAAATTGTTTTGTGCATCAGTAGTTTATTCAGCATGTACATATAATTATCTTCCTCTCTTGTTTGTGTTACTAGCCTGGGGTCTAAAGCACACAATAAATTTTGTTTGTCTGCCCGTATATCAATAAGCCTTACAGCATGCCCACCGAGAATTGTATGGAATCTAATTCGCGAAATACTGTCAACATCGTGGATGAGTGAATTTAGGCTAAAGTAGGGATGATTTGTTTGTTGTATCAGACGGGACTCCAGCTTTATCACACCTTCTTTTGAAGTCTAAAGATATGTATTATTAATGTATAACTTCTTATCACAATATGATTGAAATCCTTCCTATGTGATGTTAAATTTTAACTCACTCACTCACTGTCATAACTACTAATCAATATGGCGCAGCCACATCACTAATTGATCGGAAATTAGTAATACTATAATAAGGAGAAACTTCTCGGATAATAGAACATTATTCCCTTTGAAGAAATATGACAAGATGCCAACTGTCAATTATTGCACAAATGTTAACGACCAATCGCATGGCGCCAGGCCCTGACACACCTGATAACCTAGGCTTCCTTTAGGGAAGCAATAGGTTTCGTATTTCTTGCGGCGGTGGTGTGCCTTGCTATAGGATCTGTTCCGTGAAGTGCATTGATATTTGCTGATGAGTCAGTTGTAGGATATGCATCCTGTCAGTGGAATTCAGACAGACGCCAAGAAGTCAACACTAAAGCACGTTACCAAGTATTTTGAGATCACATATTCCCCCACTTTGTACAGTTAAATATATCGGACAATCGGTGGTGAGTAGTCTGAAAAACACTTGCCACAGGGTAAAAACATAGTATTGGTTTGACAGTGGGCATTGGTTGGCGTACAAGTTGTGTGATATACCTCAAATGAAAACACATTGTTACATCCTAGCGATGTTTCTTAACTGGACAGTAATTCCTGCTTCACCCATCCACTGATGGTATGAAACTTATATCCCTCCCAGAACAAGGCATAGGGTGATGAAGACATCTACCTCTACGGTAGCATGAAGTTCGTCACGGCTCAGACATGGATTATTTCTATGGTAGATTTCACGTTAATGGACAAACTTAATGGACACAGATTTGCACGCATATATAAGGCTTCTCACAAATCCGTTAAAACAGCGAGCGAAGTGGCGGCAAAGGTTATCAGTGGTATACCCACTGTCAGTATTAAAACACTTAATGTTGGTGATCGAAGTGATGAGTTTGGCATGAACAACACAAGTCCGTCTATGTGTCCCCAACTGTTTATGTCGGCAGCATGTCTACTGAGTCTCAGGTACATCAATAGGTGGTTCAAAGGTAATCAGTAAAAACACCTTATCAGTACCGTGATTCTAATTGTTGTCTTGGCATGACGACTGTCCACCTCCCAACTTCTCCGCTGACTCATCTGTAGGTATGATTAGGAGACAAAGGTTTCCAACTGACCAATGCATCATCAGTTTGGGGAAGCAAGCTGCGTAATTTGTGGTGCAATTAAAGGTTTCCCACCGACCAATGCATTATCAGTGAGGGAAGCAATCTGCGTAATTTGTGGTGCAATTAAAGGTTTCCCACCGACCAATGCATTATCAGTGAGGGAAGCAATCTGCGTAATTTGTGGTGCAATTAAAGGTTTCCCACTGACCAATGCATCATCAGTGAGGGAAGCAATCTGCGTAATTTGTGGTGCAATTAAAGGTTTCCCACCGACCAATGCATTATCAGTGAGGGAAGCAATCTGCGTAATCAGTGGGACAATCTGTCACCCCCTTACCACTGAGAGTAGACAAATGAAAGCATTGATTTAATATTGTTTTCATTGCAAGTTAAGTTTTGTTGTGAAGTTTCTCACCAACATGCTGCTAAACATAATCCACTCTGCACATTCTCAGGGTTTCTTACTAAATGGAAAGTGAGGTTTATATTAGCAGACGGCCCTTACTGAGATGCTATTTGTGTAACGACCGACAACTAATGTATTTTCACTCCATTATCTTTCTAATCATAAATGATTCAAATTTACCTACTTCGGATATAAAATATAGAAATATCATGATTGTCAATGTGTAAATAACGAAGGCTGTGCCATTATAATGTTTTTGATAATTTATGCATCCTTGCTTTTCTAAGCTTCATCGCAGCACCACACGGGTGGTTTCTGTCCACTGGTTACTTATGCAACACCCATCGGGATACCCATTGCCGATAACAAACCCTCCTGAATCTGGGTTTCTGTCAACGGGTGCCTTTGTATCTGGAGGAGCACCCGCTTCCGGATACCCGGATGCCTTTCAGGCAGTATACAGTGGTAGGCCAGGAATCCAGGGAACGGACACCATCCCTTTTTGTGCTGTGCAGGGTTCCCACACCCAAAAGGGAGTATCATCGGAGGCAAATTTGTGTTCTGCGTGGGTTGTTACAATTTCCAAACCGAGGTTGTAAGAAATGAAACCAATCGTTTCAGCAGGATGACATCTGATTGGCTGAATAACAGACGCATCCTGCACTGAGATTGGGCATTCAGAGGTCCCCCATGGTCCTCGGATCCTCATGCAACAAGGCCGTCCATGGTACTTTGACGAGGTGTCCTCAGATCTTCATGCAAAGAAGCATCTCTCCGAGTAAAAAGCTAATATATTAATGCCATTGTGCCGTTAAGCAACAAACAAAACATCAGAACTTCTTTAGTCCAGATCCCATTTATCCGGAAGCCCCGCCCTCCAGAAGATTACAGTTGTTAACGTATATAGTAGGGAGATCGTTACTTGCAAAAGACTTATCAATCAGGAGATTCCTTCACTAGGATTGCTGTGGGGACTCGGGGTAGAATGTGTCCCCAGCACCCCATTGCTGGTACTAGGAGGCGACCAACTTGAGCAACCTGTATCCTGTATATAATATGATTTTCTTGAAAAATGATTTCCATTTATAGAATTAAAAAAATATAGTTTGATAAATTATGCACGTTTTGTCCACGTGTAAACGTAAATGACATGATCATCATAATAAATAACCTTATTCCAAAATGTTATATACAAACAAAGGAAACCATTTTTTTACATTTTAATACAAATATTATGCAAACAACCAGAACAATAGGTGAAAATAACTAAAATAAACATTTAACAGGTATGATGCGTGAAGATACTGTGGCTTTATATAGGCTGAGAAAGCCAGAAAGATAATGTGCAAATAGCTGTATTATGAAAGGCAAATGAAACGATGATATCAAGTTATTTATATTCGAAAATCAAACATAATTATGCAGGATAAACGATCAGCCTTTAGGGCTATGTACACAACAAACCACTTTAAACTGTTTCACGGTAAAAAGATTATGACCTCTCAGATTTTCTTTCGCTGACAAACTGCGGTACAGTCCTCATGATAAGGTCACCTTAGTTTGTGTAAAGTACACCAAAAGTGCTATAAAAAATGAATTTATGATAATTGTTTTTAAGAATATATATATATAACTCCTCAGATTCACTTTTTCTAACAAACTGCCGTACATACCTAATAATAACGTCATCTTTGTTTGTGTAAAGAGCACAGAAATTGGTATTGTTGCTTAATCAAAATTTGGATGTATTCTTATTTAAATCTAAATATAAAAAATATTAAGCTTGAGCCCAAATTAAACGAGGACCTAATTTCTTGACAGCCATATTAGATATTGTACTTAAAAATAACCTTTCAGTGTTATTCAAGATGGATCCATTTTGTTATCTTATCGTGTTTTCTAAAGAACATTCAAAAACAAATGGCTTGCTCTCATCAATATAAAATCTCATGACTCAATGAACTTTAGATAAGAAGAATAGTATATGTATGCCGTTTAAGCCTTTAAGTTGTTTTCTTGAGTTCTCGTCTTCTGTCCTGGCGTCCCGCAATCAGCAAAATGGAAAAGGTGGCCTCTCGCTTTTCTTGAATATGATGCATACAGTATATCGGCTGTAGTGACGGAACAAAACGATATGATTGCCAGAAACCCGAACAGTGGGGGGCGTGGCAAAGCAACCACAAGTGCAAATTTCAGCATGTCCATTAGCATGTTGATTGACGTCTGTACTCCGTTAACCACACCCCTTTCAGATTCCTCCACGGTCTCGAGAAACAGCTGGGTAATGGTCAAATCCGCCATCCATACCCCTGTGGAAAAAATGATTCACCTTTAAACCCGACACCTGGAGACATTATCTGGACACTGGATAAATTCAGCTTAGCGAGTTATTCTGGCAGTGAAAGTTAAGAGGGACTAGGCCTCAGCCAATTGTTAGTCAAAGTGTGTTCAATAAAAGTCGTTCAGTTTTGTTTGCCTGGTGGAAGTAAGTGAGCTTAAAATTGTGTGACCTGGATTTTACGCCGCTTTAAACAACAGTATATTAGCCTACTGGTTGAGGTAAGACCAAAGTGACGCAAGTATACAACATTAATGGAACAAACGATCGGGATTCGAACCCATATTGATATGATTCTGGTACGACTAGGTGACGCAAATCTGCACAGCGAATTGCCGCTAAACATAAATGAAGCGAATTCGAAGCTCGATGAATGGTGAGTAAAATTGGATCAATTAATCACATTCGAGACATAAATTACCTTACTTCAAGTACAGAGTAGGTAATTGCCTTTCCACAGTTAATTTTACAATGAGGAGACTACCAGCAGAATGATCCGGCGCCTAAAAACATGAATAATATTTTTTTACAACTGCTTTATTCCTATAAATTCTACCTGCAGTCAACAAAGAAAACATCCTACCAAATCTGTTTCCAATGATGCCAGTCATAAATACACAGATGGAGATGATTGACATTGGTGTCGATGCCATCCCTTGGCAGGCACCCCCAGCACCATCAGCAGTGACGTTGAACAACCCCGCCCCGAGTGGAACCACGTCTGCGACGGAAGCGTTGATATAAGTGCAGTTGACAATGTCGGTTAGGTCTGTCGGCGACCTGGACCAGTAGTAAGGGTCAAAGGGACTTCCGGGCAAGAGGATAGAAAGGACACACAGTGTTAAGAAGATCCACTGAGCTCCCAGTGCAAAGAGTCCTGTTCTCACGATGCCTATTCGACGCCTGATCACCGGGTACGCCATGGTTCCGAAGACGCCATTCAAGGCTGCCCCGCCCATCAATAGCCCCAGGGTGGACTCTGACACGCCCTGTGTGTATATGTAGCCTGCGAGGGTTATGAAGTGAGAGAAATTATTTTATTTATGTGGCACACTTGGCAATACATGATTTGAACATAGGTGTGTAAATGCAAAGCCTAGCCCTGATCGGCTTAAGAGACACATAATCACGTTTGTTTGTTTGTATGTTGTTTAACGCCGCACTCCGCAATATTACAGCTATATGACGGCGGCCTTTAAATAATAGGGTCTGGACTAAACAATCCAGTGATTGATATCATGAGTATCGTTCCACGCAATTGGCATACAATGCCATGCATCAACCAAGTCAGGGGCGGTCGGGTAGCCTAGTGGTTAAAGCGTTCGCTCGTCACGCCGAAGACCCGGGTTCGATTCCCGACATGGGTACAATGTGTGAAGCCCATTTCTGGTGTCCCCCGCCGTGATATTGCTGGAATATTGCTAAAAGCGGCGTAAAACCAAACTCAACCACTCACTCAACCAAGTCAAAGAGCCTGAGCACCCGATCCCGTTAGTTGCCTCTTATGACAAGCATCGTCACCTCTTACGATAAGCATGTGTTGCTAAAGACCTAATCTAACCCTGATCTTCACGGATGTCACACACTCATTAAAAATACCATACGTGACTATAATTGATAAAAATAGCATCAGGTACATGTACATCCCCATGTATATGCACCAGATACGGCATATCATATTGGTGGAATGGAACAGTATAGTTATGAATGATGCGGATGTAATATGCGTTTCTACATCGCGTAAAGAGTGGAGGCTTGGGGTTGCGAATGTACGTAAATCATAATGAGAGAGGAGAGTTTAACATGAGGCTGCATTGACAAATAAGCAACTCATCTTCAACTCTGTCTAATTCCATGTTCAAAAGGATTTACAGGGCGGCAACGGCAGCCTAGTTCCACTTCTAAGGGAAGGGTGCCTATGTTATTCCATAGATCTCCCAACCAATTTCAAAAGTCATACTTCAACAGTAAACCCATTACATCGGCAAAGCTTTATGATCTATTATTAATATTTACATCAACACGTGCAAATACAGCAAATACACGCTTAGCCCAAGAGTTCGGGATAGAGGCAGACCACCTTTTTTTGTTATGTTTGTTTGTTTGTTTGTTGTTTAACGCCGCACTCAGCAATATTCCAGCTATATGACGGCGGTCTGTAAATAATCGTGTCTGGGCCAGCCAATCTGCAATCACCCGTGAACACTGAATACATGCGGACGCTTGTCGTGTAGTAACGACACGTGTATAGTTTTAGTTAGACTAACATTCAGTCCCAGCAACAAAGTTATCTTAAATAAAAAAAAATATTTATCTACAAAATATAAAATAATATCCAAATGAAGCCCTTAACAATGCTTAATTTAATCTCGACTTGCCAAATCATTCTAGACTTGAGTTGGATTCCTTTCTTAATTAATTCTCTGGTGCCTGGGTGAGTGGGTGAGTATAAGTAAACTAATGAAATGAAGCTGTTTATAATTCGTAGCTTCATACCGGTGTGTTGCCTTTGTGCGAACCCGACCATTGGCTGATATGGAAACACTATCCATGACAGACGATGCACGATAAATATAGCTGATGTTATCTAAGCGCTCATTGGTCTGAGCTAGTTTCTCTTTCATCGGAACCAGGCCGTGACATGATTCGTTGGTTAAAAGTAGCTACTACAACGATGCGGCCGTTTGTATTCACGAGCACCCTCAGGAACGTTGTGAATATAAACCGTGATGTATTGGGTGTTCGTGAACATGTCTCGTGAACGATTCATTTCTTCATGATAAAAAAATCCGGTTTGTCAAAGTTATCGGTGTCAATGTAATGACCAAATTAGACTGGGCGTCAACTGAAGTGAGTTATCTGTCCTTGCCTGAAATAACGAAGAGAGAAAACCATACATGCCTACAGTGATCCCGTCAAATCCGAGGACAGTCAGATAGAGGAACGCGAGGGAAAGGCCCGCACGGAAGACGTCATACTTCTTGTAGGTTTGCATGCCCCGGTACAGCACTATGAAACTGTACAGCATGCGGCTCATGCAGCTAGTGTCTCCATCATCGACGTCATTCTCCCTTTCAGCAAGTGGTGGTTTTGCTGGGTCGTCCAACGCCGTCACGTTTTCTGGCACCAGAGGTTCTTTAAAGTTGACTTTTGCGTAGCCTGTGACATCTGACAACTTTATATGGCTGTCTTCATGGAGGATTGAGGAACCGAGGCCTAGCAATTGCAATCATATGCTGTTATACGTTTTATAGTCAACACACAGTGAAACCTCTTATGTTCTTTACCCCGTTAATCAGGAAACACCGTCTTCTGGACAATTACCTTTGGGAACGTCTCTTAACAAGAGGGGCATTCTTACCAATGACTCTTTCACGAGGACATTCGTTAATCCTGACGATTTAATCGCTAACGGAGCAGTCCGGAGTAACTTGTGTCACAGTGTGTGAGTTGATACACTTCATTTTCATCTCGTGAGACGTTCATTGTTACATGAGACGTTCTGACTTTACGAAACGAGGACAGACATTAACGTATTTTCCGAGATGTCTATACTCATTGCAACTACTAAAGGGTCACCTATGATGACATATTTTGGGACAAAACACTAATTCCCTACTGTAATAAAGACATACAGGCGGGAAAAATATGTATTGGGTTTCTATTCTAATTACATTACATATGCATTGGGGCAGCTCAGTGGGGACCTCATGACACCATGTTCCCACAAACAGCTGTTACACTAAGGGCGTTGAAGAGAGTAAATGTAATTGAAAACTGAAAGAATATGTCTATTTAACCATCACTCATTCCTGCAACAGTTTGTAAAAAGTAATCTGTGGCTGAGTTATTTTGTATGACATTAAATTTGCAACCACATGACCCCTAGCACGTTTAAAATGTTAATTTGTGCCGATCAAAAAAGGAGTTTTATTGATTTTCAATGATAGGGTGTCTGAGATACCCATCAGCAGTTGTCTGTAATGCGAATTGTTCATTTTAATATTAAAACGTTTTCATTCAAATTATATTTTAGAAAAATAAAACTGTGTGGAAATATAATTTGAGTGCTGACAAAGCGCCAGTACAGTTCATTTTGGATATGAAATCGCTAACTTAAGTTATTTTCAATTGAAAATCAAACATATGATAAAATCAACAGAGATGTGTTAGTTTTTGTCGCCCCAAGGTTTATATTAAAGAAAGCATACACTTAGCCCCAATGACCAACGATCCTCTATGTACCCGGAACACAACTTGACCAGTGGTCTAAGCCGCCAGGATCCGCCCGTATCTGGTTCCAATACCAAACTCTTTAGTCTGTGTACCGTGGTTGGGGGTTTCATTAAATTGGTTTTATCACAATACACCGGGTGATATGACCATCTAAAACTGACACGCCGCGATGTAACTGAAACACTGATCAAAATCGCCTTCAGAAAACTCTCTCCTACATGTACCTTTATCTTTCCAAAGTTTCTTATCCTTCCTGAGAGATGGCACAGTCTGGTACACCTTCCACATGAGATAGTAGCCGAAGAAGACGGAGAGAGCATTCCACACGCCGATAAACACACCAGCGATCTTCAGACCGACATGAGTCATGATCTGACCCGTGACGATCGGAGCAAGGACCATGGTTCCCAGGTCGATCCGGCGCAATGTAGCTGTCATACCTGAATATAAACCGACATGGAAGTAAAACGTATGTATGAAAGATATCATGTAAAGCCATGAAATACGAAAAAACATGTTTCTCATCATATGGGGGTCGTTTTGAACATGCCTCGTGAACGATTTATTTCTTCGTGGTCAGGAAATTCGGTTTGTGAATGTCACCGGTTTTAATATAATGACCAAAATAGCCAGGGGGTCAACAGAAGTGAGTTATCTGTCTTTGCCTGAAATAACAAAAATGATAGACCACACTGCAGACAATTACACCTAGAAGACACATTTTGGATCAAGACGATCTGGCAACTGAACATCGGTTGAACCATTCTTGCATAGTTTCATCAGTCGAAAATTACAAAATGAATCTCTTTGAGAGTATTGGTGGTAGCAATTATAGTTAAGGAAACATTTTGCTGAGAATAATAGATAAGAAAAACTCTCGTTTGACCTTAAAATCAAACTACATAATATCGTTATTGTCATGCCGGATCAGTTTACAAAGTGTTCATTCTTTAATAAATCAATTGTAGGTTTGTTTATAAAGATGTACGATTAATGTGAGGCGAGGTGAGGTGAAATTGGGTTTAACGTCGCGTCCAAGATTATTGCACTTATATAGCGACATGCATGCACGTGTGTGTGGCTGCTTGTACTAGTCAGGACTGGTGCCGATTTATAGTGCCAGCTCACAAAAGATACCATGCCGCAGTTTAACAAGACACAGTAGACTCGAGTCCATTAATGTCGAGCCACAGACAACAAGTACCATCTTTTGGTATGGCGCGGCCGGGTATCGAACCCCGGACCATCCGCTGTCCGGGCGGACGCTCTACCTCTAGACCACGGAGGCGGTCGCACGATTAATGTGTGTATAAGGGAGTATATATACTACATGACAGATTTCTCCAAAGTACTTACGTACATGGGGGAACAAATGTTATAAATAGTTATTATAAAAACCAAACTAATAGTTGGATTTGAGTAAGTCTGAGAACTAATGGTGAGGTAACCGATACCAAGTTTCGACTTGGTCTTGACAGTTTGAGGCAATGCGGAATGATGACGAACGACGGGTGTCCATATGGTCAGGTTATCCGATCAGGTTATCCGGGTATTATGTATCTATCTTATTACAATAAATACCCTTGACCGATTCGTCACTAAAGCTTAGTTTCAGAAGTGACGTCAGCTATCTCCATTCTCCTATCACCAACCTGGCACTTTCTCTCGCCCATGAATGTAATATGAGTTTCAAAGTCGTGCTATTTGCATCGGGCTCTATTGTAGAAAATTGGCATAGGGTATTTATCATAATAGAACGGAGATATTATAACGCGCTAATCGAGAAATGGTCAGGTGGTCCTTTGAGGCTAAACACTTACTGGCCAGCATATCACTGTTCCCACCACAGATTTCCACAACCCAGTCTCTCTCTATGGTAATGACACGTGCAACCTGGGCCAGATTACCCAACACCGCGAACAGGATTATGAATCCGTAACAGAGATTGCGCTTCCAGCCCACCATAGGTTCCTCCGTTGAGTCTCTGTGCCACAGGTAGCCACAGACAGCCGTAACAGACAGTACAATAAATGTCTTCTGTAATATCAGTGCTGTCTGGACGGCTGTGGAATATATGACAGGGTGTTAATGCATGGATATTGTTTACTGCCGCTGTCATTACGACAGTTATAGATTCATCACTCATTTTACAACTATAGATTACTCCTCTGTCGAAAAATGCTGAAAAACGATAGCCAATCAATCAATCACTCAATCAATCAATCACTAGAAAGGCTTATACCCACGTACATGAAAATATCTATTTTGAAAATACAAAAACAAGAGTTGCAGCTAAATAACAATGTTACTATAAAAAGGAGCTCCGTAAAATTAAAGCATCCCCAATATAATATAAGTAAGACTAAATTAGAGATGCTTTAAATATACGCAGTTCCGATAGTAAAGTGAATAGCGATAGTAAAGTCAAACATCTCGATCAGGCAAGACAGAAAAGACATGAATGATTTTGGATACGTTAACTGGGCGTGGCGTATCATATATATCGTATCGCTCGGGTTTGTGTTGAGGTACGTTAGACTATAAAATTTCATACTATGGCTTATAAGTATAGGGTATAAGACATCGCTTGTGATGTATAACAGAGTATAACCCATTATTGTATCGATTCTTGTAATGTCGAGTTACGCCAGAGCGTTGTCATGTATTCATATTTCGGATCTGTGCCGATCCGTGAAACGGTATAAACCCTGTAAAGGGACATATCTCTAGTTGGGAGTGAATAAACGACAAAAAACAATGTTTGGTGAAAAGCGATGTTACTTCTATTTGAATAAGGTTAAATCCTGAAGGTGAAGATTAAATTCTGCCCACGCAATATAACAAGCATCACTATAACTCTTGATAGAATGTGGAGTTCACCTCGAAGTCTCCCTGTCCTGTCTACCCAGTCTCCGATCAGTGCCCCGAACAGTAGCACCGCTACACCCACGCTCAGACCGTAGATGGCCGTCAGTTGCAGGGACTCGGGTAGGATCTCCACCAAGAGCAGGCCAGACCCGAATATCCACATGTGATCTCCCTGAAAGTAGAGAAAGAGAAGACTGGTAACGTTTGTCAGCTGTGGCCATAAACGGTTTCACGAATGTTTTTCATCAACCTGTTGGTTCTACGAAATCGTTCTCATGTTTTCTAATCTTTTAAATTTTACGGTTTCACACTTGAATCTTATTTCAGCGTCTTGACCTGAACTGGAAACGGCCACTTTGAGTGAGTGGATAGCAATATTCCAGTAATATCATTGCGGAGGACACCAGAAACTGGCTTCATACATTGTTGCCATATTGGGTTTCGAGCCGGGCCTGCGGCGTGACGAGCGAACGCTAGAACCACTAGGCTATCGTTGGGAGCGGTCATGCGATCCGTGGGATGTACTGGTTCTTTTTCTAAATGTACCTATTTTGCAATGTAAGACCCAAATCGCGAGATGGGTTCATTGAACATTGCCGTGAAAGATATGTGTTAAACGCCGTTTTGAACGGTATTTCAGTAATACCACGATGGGTCAGCTTGATGCAGGTCGAAGACGTTGGGACCCGTGACGATTCGGGGTAGAATAGGTCTTCAGCAACCCATGCTTGCCGTAAAAGGCGACTATGATTGTCTTAAAAGGCGTCTAACGGGATCGGGTGGTCAGGCTCGCTGACTTGGTTGATGCATGTCATCGATCCCAATGGCGTGGATCGATGTTCAAGATGTAAATCACTGGATTGTCTGGTCCAGACTCGATTATATTCATATAGCTGGAATATTGCTGAGTGCGGCGTTAAACAACCAACCAACCAACCAACCGAAGACGTTGGTGTCGAAAGATAATCCTGGCGAATCTGGGACTCGTACCCACATCACGGGTTTACGCCACGTATGAGGGACGCAACTCTGCCCAGCGAATTGAGGCGCTTCAGACAACTGGGTCACCCATGCCCGGACAACACAGGACTACACATGATGTACGGGGCAAATTAACATAGGTTTCGTCTAGTTATTTATACATATAAGGGTATGTTCATTTTAATCTATACATTGCCAAGCCTTCACATAGCATGCATGCATACCCATATCCAGAGTCCAGTAGAAACTATAGTCCTCGCCACTTGAAATAGAATCACGAAATATCGCGATCATTAGTTAACGAAGATAGCTGCGTGTGTTCTGACTTATAAAGTGAAAACAAGCCTTTCTTCTGATAAGGAATATTACTTACAGTAATGACAAAAATTGCAAAGTGCACTTTTGAAGAAATGTGCATTTTAATTACTAGCGATAAGCATCATCATTGAGTTTTTATCATGTGGTTTGTATCCGGGTAATCTTCGGCAGTCAGGTGACAATATAAAGGCTATATTTAGCAGCGCGTGCAGCGTACTTACGTCATCAGCACGAATTGAAAGAAAAAACGGGATGCAGATGTGGTATTTAAAGCGCTATTGCGCTATTTCTCTACTACTAGTTATAACCGCTCGCGGTTACCTGGCTGCCGATTCTTACCCGGATTGTGACTACGTAAGAAAACCCCAAGGATTATGTTTATCACCAGCAAAATGGATATTTCTTGAAACGTGCACTTTGCACTTTTTGTCATTACTGTAAGTAGAGATTCCTTATCGTTGGAATGGCTTGTTTTCATATCATAAGTAGCTATATTTGTTAATTAATGATCGCGATATTTTCATGATTCTATTTCAAGTAGCGAAGACTATAAGGCCTCACCCATGAAGACAAGAAGTGACTGCTGTAGATGTACATGTTGGTGTGACGCACGCACCATTTCGGCCACCCTGAAGTGGAAGAGGTATAACACGTCAACGCACAGGACTAACATGTCTCTTTTATCATCGAAACATTCTATTTGGCGTGAAAGACAAAATAACTCTGAACGTTATATAAATGGATCAATGAAAATCAGGGATGACACTAGGTGTTCGCGAAAAGGGTAAGCTAGCATGTCCTGCATACCGGTCGCACCGCCACTCACACAATCTGCATAAAAAAGAAAGTACTTGTTGCCTGACGCCTCAAAACAGTGCTCATGGTTCGACAACGGCTTGTAAACAATACATTTAAGGGTTATCAGTCTGTCACACACACCCTCAAACAAATATATCCACTACAGACCATGTAAGTCTATAGCAGTGGGCAAGTCTAGGTTACTGCATTTTCAGGAAATGAAGAGAGTATCTGGACCCCTTTTTATTGTATTTTATTTACATAATTTAACCACTGTATTATTCCGTAAAAATGTTCAGTTCAGAGCCTAGATGTTAGTCTGAAGGGTTGTCAGTAGCGCGAGTTTGTCAGGTTCATTTGGCTTCATCCGATATCTCTGCCCGGAGAGCGGAAGGTCGGGGCTCGATCCCGCCCGCGTCATACCCGAAGACGTTAAAATATGGTACTTGTTGTTACCCTGTCTGAGGTTCGGCATTAGGGGTCTAAGCAAGAATTGGTCGGCTCGGAGTCAGTATATTGTGTCTGAGTGGGGTATATTTATGTAAAACTGGGGCATGGTATCACAGTGGGTTAGCACCATAAAATCGGCATTTGTCCGGATTTGCACACACAAACACACACACACACACACACACACACACACACACAGTACAAGTACAAGTATACACGTGCATGCATATATAAGTGCAATAATCTTAAATGCGTTTTCACCTCACCTTATTCTGCTGTACGGATATAAGATGCGCATGAATTCACTGTAAACCTGTAACACCAGATGCCACCGCGGTCTCGGATGGCGGTCATTTTGGAAGTCATGTTATTTTGTGATTCATAGAAATCAGGAATACGCTGATTTGAAGACAAAAACAAACGAAAACGATTTGAACATTTACTTTAGGCTCACGACCGCTGCCAGTTAGTGGTTTAGTCGTTAGTCACATGCGCGGTAAACCGCGTAACGCCATATGCTACCGCATATAGTTCGCATAGCATGGCGGCCATTGTTGCGTGAGTCTGTGAGTGAGTTTGGCTATGTTAGCAATATTCAAGCAATATCACGGCGGGGAACACCCGACATGGTCCATTTTGAAGACAATTTATTCTGTGTTTAACAGGAATTAGATTTACATGTTGATTTGAAGAAAAGGGGACACGGAAACAATTTGAATTTATTATGTATGGTGCACGGCTGCTGCAGATTACATTGCTAACACGAAAACGTCGTTTTTTCCCGTATATGGTCATTGGACGAAAAAAACGAAGCTTACCGTCGTTATTTGAAATCGGAATGTTATCAAGCTCCTCCCTTTTCTTGATGGACGCTGTCAATCAAGCAAAAGCTTCTTCCAATATTTCTATTTCTCAGATTTAAGTGGTCAGCTCTCGCGTGTTAAATTATAGGCCTGAGTTTGACAAGGTGCTCGTAGCGCTTGGCGGAAGTGCTGAATTCAACTTTCTACGCATGCGGATTGTTCAACTCCTTGTCCAAATTTCCCGTTTTTATTTAGTATCATCACCATTTCATAGTGATTCATCAACATTATCGGAACTGTACAGTCGACTCTGTTTTTGGAACCCCAAATACGACTAGAATCGGTACTTTACAAAGACACTGTTATCCCAAATATAACATTTGATACATTTGACCACTTTCTAAATGACATTGTGTATTCAAAGAGTTTTGTATCTTATATTTACAGCACTTACGTGATCTAACGTGTACCAACTGCTTTCTCATCAAATGACACAATGATATCGGTGAGATTTTTGTCTCAGCGCAAGACTCAGAAACGGCTGAAGTGGATTGTTACTTTCGCAGTCACATGAACAACAAATTCACAAATTAATATCAAACTGAAACTAGAAAATATGTCGGCTTTCACAACTTTTCTTTTTAAAAGGTGACTTTGGTTTAAATTGCCAGAAAATATATACATATATTGGTTTCTGTTTAGTTCGGAATTGAGGAAATAAAGTTTATTCATAATTTTAAGGTTTTTTTCGCCCTCAAATTGACGTGTAACCTGAGTACATTGTTGCATGATTCCCTTTTCTCAGTTGAACATGACACTTGCCTTGTACCTGTTTCAGTGATCTGCGTAGTATTTTAATGTAGTGGACTATGTTCTGGTATTATAAACAGATCCCATGTTACATTCCGAACTGATGGTGTTTATTTTATGGATATCTAGGCTGCTACCCAAACCGATCCGAACAGGGAGCCTACTGCGTATAGTATGCTATTTAGTTAATGTGGCAGTGTACCAGACAATTCTACATTTTATTCCGCACGCTAATCTTGTTACGTTTACTTTAAAGTCATTAAAAATGACTTAAAAGGAGAAATGTTAAATTAGTTAATTAATCAATAAATTAAGTATTGCATGCTTCCCTTACATATTTGCTACTGGGTGTACTACTGCATTGATTCAAAGTTTAATCAACGATATCAAAATCAGCTATTTAAACTGCTGAAACACCCAAACACAAGGCTATTATCAAGCACGGGTGCCACGGGTGTGGCAGGATACGCTCACATTTTCGTGAGAACCTGGTGAAAAGCATGCACCTCTTCGGATGTACATCCCACATCAGTCTGATATGCTGGGATAGAGGTGAACTACTGTTCACGGTGGTGTTCAACTCGCTGTGTTGCGTGCTACTGCAACTGTCAATATCATGTGTAGTGACGTCATGTAATATATACAACATATCCAGCTGAATTGATATTATACTTGCGTGAGTGTGTTTTATATCAAGACCCACATACCATATTTTTAAACACACATAATAACTGATCCTCTGCAGGCATAGTACCATGTACTAACTACCATATGCACAAGTGGTCGGAATTTGCTGGAATTTGAGCAGAGACTGTGGCGTTTACAATTACCTGAGTAGGTTTCATTCACAGGCGCTGTGCTGGCCGCTATGTGGGACCATGCCATATAAGGGCAGTTGATAGTTAATGCCCCAAGATGGCAAGCAGGCGACGCATTTATCATTCCAAAATAGAGAGAAATAAAAACATTAACACAACTAATCTACTCATCTTTTAATTATAAGAGTAACATCAAGATTTCGAACTGCATAAAAACTCATTAATTTTCTCAAAGTTTATTGTATTTAAACATTTATGGCTCATGTTTCGAAATTTAATTTAAATTTTGGTGGTTGCTTTCCATCATCTCTGCAGGGCCGTGCAGTTCGCCTTCACACAGTCACATGCAGAAAATGTAGAAATGGTGACTGGGTGTGGTTGATCGCCTTCACTCATACGACTCCATCCGTTTGTTGGTATGGAAAGGTCCCAACTCCAGCCAGGTATATAGGTCGATGTGTATACAGCGCAACAAACGTGTAATGTGACAGAAACTATCGCTAAGGAATTACATATTTTGTGACTTTACATTGACTAGAGGATGAGTAAGACACAGTTATTCGTAAGCTATGATCTAAAAGTACAAATAGTCATTAAGTCAAATAGACAAAAGAAAATACACTATCTTCTGAGTAGATTTCCCATAGTTGTTTAGTAACACAAGGCCGCTGATTATACCCATCAGGAAGATTACCAAAAACAACAAACCAACGAATTATTTATTCGAGATGACATTAGAGGAAAATAAGCGTCAAGTCAAAGTGTAAACCCAGGTTGTACTGGTAAATGTATTTCAAATGGGTTTTGATGTTTGTGCCAAGTGAAATTCGCTGGATCTTGTTGGAACATGGGACTTTATTTATTTCACTGCCCTGAAATAAATTATGAATACATAATGCCATTTAGAAATTGGTCAAATGTAACAAATGTTTTATGGGACACTATCTTAGCCATAAGTAAGACTTTTTTACTTTTATTCACTGCGAGAAATAGATTATGAATACATAATGCCATTTAGAAAGTGATCAATTGTAACAAATGTTATACTTGAGATAACACGTTCTCAGTAAAGTGAAAATGAGACCCATCCGGGATTCGAACCCATACTCTCAGAGTGAGGTACCTAATCGCCAGCACACAAAGTCAGCGATACACCCCACTCAGCTACCGAGGCTTCCACAAAATAAAAGTCTGACAACTGGTAGTCGAGATCATTACTTTGTCAGAGGGGTACAATTTGCCTTTTACGAGAATCAAGGGTTGCTAAAGACCTGTTTAATAACAGTTTATTGTTTTTAAACAGTGTTATCATCAGCGGGCTAGTAATAAAATATGATGTACATGTACTCCAAATTACGAATTTGAACTTATGCAATATTATATATATTTGGTCAGTTCCGAGATGCAACTGTACATCTGCCGAGGAGTTCAGCAAACGATCGCTATTCGTTTGACCGATTCAACGACGTTAACCCTGTTTGCTAGGAATTGACTGCATGCATTTTAGTAGACTGGTAGTTGCATCAACACTTGTTTTATACCTGATGTTTAATTCTTTGTCAGGGATGCCTTGTCCTATCATGAACTCACAATATACCATCTCCACTTGCAGCAATAAATTGTCCTGTCATTAACCCACAATATACCATCGCCACTTGCAGGAATATTTTGTCCTATCAATACCCCACAATATACCATCCCCACTTGCAAGAATACCTTGTCCTCTCATTGACCCACACTATACCATCTCCACTTGCAGGAATACCTTGTCTTATTAATTCCCCACAATATACCATCTCAACTTGCAGGAATACCTTGTCCTCTCATTAACCCACAATATACCATCTCAACTTGCAGGAATACCTTGTCCTCTCATTAACCCACAATATACCATCTCCACTTGCAGGAATACCTTGTCCTCTCATTAACCCACAATATACCATCTCAACTTGCAGGAATACCTGGTCCTCTCATTAACCCACAATATACCATCTCAACTTGCAGGAATACCTGGTCCTCTCATTAACCCACAATATACCATCTCCACTTGCAGGAATACCTTGTCCTCTCACTAACCCACAATATACCATCTCCACCTGCAGGGATTCATTGCCCCGTCATCAACATGAGTGAAGGTCAAACATACCTTGTCAACAATAGTTCGCGTAAGACATTAAATGATGCCAATACTACATGACATATCAGTTACATCGTGCACAGAGCCAACGCTGAAGCAAATGAAAACCAGTTGTTCACACATGACGATACAAGTGTATGAGAACGGTAAACATTAAGTTCTGCATGATTTATTACTTCCACGAATGTCAAGATGATATAACTGAAATACTGAAATGAAATATATTACTACATGCAAAGAAACAAGAATTGTAAATCACCTGGAACTTACATTTGCTTGTATTGTCCATGCTGCAAGAGGCTGCCACAGAGTGCCCAAGATTGGCCCAGATTGACACCGGCTTCACGTTACGTCGGCTACTGTATCAGGCGGTCCTACTAACTGACATAGTCAGTGTGAAGCGCTCCAGACATGTACAGAATATATTTTCACAAACCCAAAGTAACTATGTGATAATTTTCTCTCTCTTTTAATAAAACAAAACGGGCTAGTTACTCTCAAATGTATTCATATCATATATTCATAACTGCCGATTCTTCATTAAGGAATTTTTGTGACAATATCAACTAATATTGATCCAATAAACATATCGCACCCTTCTGTAAACCACATTAAATGATTTTTTAACGCAACAATGTTAGTAATTATGTTCATATTTTCATATAATCATATTGTTGTATAATTCATTCATATAATGTTCACAGATATACATTATGTTATGATTGAAATGTATGATCAGTAAACAAAATGTTGATCCAAATATAGATTGTTGACGAACGATACCATATGTGTTTGGAAATATTTTAGTGACACCACGCTTCCCGAAGAGATGAAATTAGTTGGGTTTTAAAAGCACATTAATATTTCTACTTGATCAAACATTGCTGAATGGACACTAATGGTTCTTTCATAGGAATAAGGGGTGGTGGGGTAACCCAGTGGTTGAAGGGTTCGCTCGTCACGCCGAGAGTTCGATTCCCCTCATGGATACAATGTGTGAAGCTTATTTCTGCTGTCCCCCACTGTGATTTTTTTAAATATTGCACTTTGGCAGAATGTTTAAAAAAGGTGTTTTGGACTAATGAAGTTCTAACGAAACCAGATAATGTGACCTTGTTGACCTTATTTTCATTTATCTCGACGGAACTGTGCAATGCAATTTGCCTGTAGCAAAGGTGTTTACCAGTTAAGTTTAGAATGAAGAAGAACAGCTGATCACCTCTATGTATAAGGATCAACTCCATGTTCAATGTCAAGTGGTCCTAGACAAAGCGATACATACAGATGAAGGTGTTTTACGTCTTAGCTTTGTATGCATAACTCTATTTGACCAGCATAACAGGATACAGTGCCTGAACTAAGTCCTTATCGCGTTAAAAGATATGATTTTAATGGGAATGTCGTTGTGGAATGAACCAGTGAGGTCCCAGTGGATGTGAGCGAACGTTGTTTGTCTGTGACCACTCAGTGTGATAACCAACCTTCCCGTGACTGTCCAGCTTTTCGGGTATTTTTGAATTTCCTTGCTCAGTCAATTTGACTGGATCTTTAGTCTATAAAACTAGTTTGATATTCAGACGTCCAAGTGTCTTATTTCAGGACAGGCCCTCTTTGTTTATTTCCCGCTATTTGGCATCGTCGAGGTTATTCACTCATTAGAATGGTAAGTTCATTAACTCTGGTGTTAATTGGTCGCTGCCGACGTACTGGCTGTCTACGCATCTTGCCTTTTTTTGTTAATATGTTGTCAAAGTTACTCTCAATTTATTACTGTAATACAGTTGCTTAGCTAAGCCGCTTGTGCATTTGTTCTGATTTGTTTAATCAGCGATCTTTGTCAGTATAGATTGGAGTTTTGATCCTTTATACTGTCGGCAACTGAAACAGTTAGCTTTTAGTAATAAACCTGTGAACCTATTACCACGGTTTGATATTTACTTATCTCTGGTCATCGAAGCACAGCTCCGCGACACCCACGTCCGACTCTAAGGGTGAATTACTGACAGGAAAGATGGAGACAATTACGCCTTCCCCGAATCAAAGCTGTGATGACGAACAGGTCCAGGGTATTTATCGCAATAGAATAGGGATATAATACCCTGGACAATCGAGGATGGTGTTAGCACAATGCACTGCAAATGTACACTACCACAGATGCTCTACCGGTATCCCCAAAGTAGTATAGTCTAAGTCCGCAGAAGGCCATTTTGGTTGATCCGGTTGATCCAAGCGGATGCGAAGGTGATTGGCTGATCCAAGTCACGTGATCGAATAGGATGACTCATGCATCAACAGCGCGTCACAGGTGAGGGGGAATGAAAGGTGTGTGTTTATAAGACAGAAAAGAATTCATAAGAAAACAAAAGTAAAAGCTTATGATTAGAGCTATGTGTATAGCGTGCTGCCTTGAATAGACAGACCGTACCCGTCAGCCCAGTTTGAATTGAGCGCGCTTGACAACTGACGTGGCCTCGTCGTTTAACCCGCGCTCGCTAGAGCGTGCGACCTGGTTTTGATGAATGCAGGGTGTGTGTTGAAAGTATAAGTACCACAATGGAGACGGGTTAAGTCAACACGATATACGTCGGGTAATGTAGGAAAAAAAACTGTACGTCTAGCTGGATCAAATTCATCTTGTACGGTCTACACGTTGTACACCACGAACGTTAGACGACCTATATAGAAAAGAAATATATAGATATAATAGATAAGACTTCACAATCAGTAAGCTAGCAGTGACGTTTAGCGCGCAAGAACGAGGTAGTCACGTCACCCTGCATTGACTATAACGCTGAAGGCAGCCGGATTTCGAATCACCCCGCGCTGCGTACTATTGTGAACCATTTGTATAGAGGGCGTTCACTTATTCAGCCCTGTCCCGACTTGCATAGTTGATGTTTCAACGCTAGCGTTTCCATTTAACGCGATGACAAATAAGCCCTACGATTTGAGTTTTAACCGTGTATCATGATGTGCACAGTTTTTACTTCAGAACGTGCTATTTTGAAAATAGATAGAAAACTGATAAGTACATGTACCAGTGTGACGGCACGAAGCTAGTTTTGTTGGGAAAGTGATGGAAGCAATCTATAGGACATTTTCATGTTTACAATACACACCCTTATTCGAAGAGAGAACAGAGTTTATCATGGAAAATTGTTTGACGAGGAAAATGTTTTATTGGAAATATAGGTTTATTCATAGCTAATGTATAGCAGAGAGACTAAGCGACCGGCCGCCCATAACAATGTCAACATACCCCGGCCTTACAATTAATGTTATCATAACAGCCTCGCCTGAAGCTTCCCATTCATAACTTGTGTGACCAGTGTCCCGTATGTATGATACGTTAGGGAACATGCGTTGTACATTTGTTATTTTAAAAGGGAGTCATTTCAGAGAGGATATATATGGGTATTCCCCCCTCATTAAACTTTTCTTTCGTTGGTGTCTATTAAACGTATCCGGTATTTAATACATTTGAATGATGTAGGAAAGTATGTGCGTGAAGATGTTGTACCTATATCCGAACACGAATGTATGACACCTTTCAATAGATCAATTACGGTTCTAACCACGACACGCAACATGACTATGAGCGTGGTTAGCAGTTCATATTTATAAACACATCGTAAATGACAGATTTCTGATGAATGAACTCGCCCGCACACATGTCTATAGGGTTATGTTCGCCCGAACTGTAAACAGTGACACATTCATAACAGGAAGGGTGTGTGGAATGCACTCGTCCTTGTAAGGGTAAAATACGCGTTTAAACTCACCATTTAAACGATGACATTACTTTTTTAGATGTATTGGTACCAGTGAGTGAGTGAATTTAGTTTTACGCCACACTCGGCATTATTCCAGCTCTAGGACGGTGGTCTGTCAATAAACGAGCTTGGACCAGACAATCCAGTGATCAACAGCATGAGCAGCGATCTGTGCAACTAGGAACCGTTGGCACGTGTCATCCGAGTCGGCGAGACTGACCAACCGATCCCCGTCAGTCGCCGATAAGCATGGGTTACTAAAGGTCAATTCTATAACCCGGACCTTCACGGGTGTAGTATAACGAAGACTATATACTAATATGCAAAAACTGAGAAAAAACAACAACAATTCATTCGTTTCATTTATTGATTCGAGTCAATCGGTTCCATACAAAGCCGTGATATACGAATGGACAATAGTGTTCACTCTGGAACATTATTTAGTCACTCATATACACATGCTGCTGCTGCTGCTCGAAGGCCCTATTGTTTAAACAGCGAGTCCATGTTTTGAAACACATTTCGCACTGTTGAATGTTTCCTTTCCTACGCTGTTTTAAGGTTGAATGGTTGTCTATAGTCTATGCTTTATCCATTGCTTGTAACGATTTCCGTCCAGGAGGTCCCAGTTTCACCATTCCTCTCACGTAGAGGGAAATTCGGCGTTTCTTATCGTTCAAACGCCTCAGTTTAGGAGGTGTTTTCAAAATATGAATCAAACTAGACGCGTGGCGTTGACTCGGCATTCTCTTCTGACTGTTAGACTGATATAGTAGTGATGGGTATTTATGCCTAATCGTTCTGCTCACGATCATCATCCTCCTCCTCGTCATCAACGTCCTTATCCTCTGCAACGCTATCAGATTCAGTCTCACTTTCTATTTCCGGCATGTCCATCAAAGGCAGGATCTCTTTCATCTTGGGTTTTAGGAGGAGTTTGATTTTATTTTTGAGAACGGATTGTTCCGTGGAAGGATTCATGTCTCCCAGGTTGTATAGCATGTTTTGAAACAGAGGTGCCTCTTTAAAGTACGTGGTATATTCCATCGCATAGTTGAGAGTACTACGCACTAGATCCTCCCACCTCAGTTTCAATCTTCTCTCAATCCATTCTTGCGTTCGTCCCTGTCGCTTGTATTGTTTTTTCTGCAGTTTCATCTTGTCATGAAACGTATCGTACACCTGCTTCCAGATGCGTTGTAACCCTACATTTTGCCACTCCTCGGCTTCCATATTAGTGAATGTTGACTTCCCACGTGGAGGTTTGACGGCAAGACCATTGCCTTTCTGGGAAGAGGCTAGGTCGTCAAAGTCACTGTCATCGTCATCACTCTCGAGTCTGGCACGCTTTCTCTTAGGTTGAAGGCTTTTGGCCGGACACCAGTGTTTGATATGTCGCTGTAGATCGTGCATGTTATCTATCAGCACCCCGCAATCTGCGCAAGCCGTGGCCATAGTGAATGATGTCTCACTACTCGTGTCTGAATCGGTTTCAATTTGCGTGAGCTGATGTTGGGGCAATCTCTCTTCTTGTGTCAGAGGACGATCCAGAGATTCTGTTGTAGTCAACTTCTCCCTACGCAGATCAGGTTCAGTCTGTGCTGTCATTTATGAGGTTAACATGCAGTCGATCCTTATCTTTGGTGGT